AGGGGATCTAGGTATAATTTATCAATTTAGTTTTAGGTGCACATTGATACAAATTTCTATCTTTGAGGGTGCAAATTGAGATTTTTGATCTTTGGGGGTGTACATTGATATAAATTTTTATTTTTAAAGGTGTAAATTGAAATTTTTGATCTTTGAGGGTATAAATTAAAATTCGAATAATCTTTCAAGATGCAAAATGAGATTAACCCAAAAAAAAAAGAGGGAGAGAAGGCATAGGAAGACCTCTCAGCTGTAATTTGTTTGGTATAGTGGATTGATAGATAATATAGATATGTAGACATGGGCCAAAAAGTACATCCAGTTTCAGTGTCAGCCCAGCACGCTATATACAAAAGTACAGGCCCAATCTTCAAGGTAAGTGAGTTCAGTAAGTAGCTTAATGGGCTTCGTGAGATCATGGGCCAAAGGAGCGGGGCCCATAAAACAAGTTCACTATTATTGCCAAGCACTGGTTTTTGGTTCTAAAGTCGCCGTAGTTGCCGAGTCACAGTGGGAATACCGTTTCTACGAAGGCGCCGGTAAAACTACGGTGCTGAGATTTTTAATTTCTTACAAATTCATAGATTAAATATATATATTTTTTTCAATGGGCAGATAGTTCTGTGCTACTTCTGGATGTGTACTTCTGTTAATTTGTTTTATTAGGTTTTTAATCAATGTTGTATTTTCAATTTTGAAGAATATACAGGTAATAAGTTTAGTTTGATCATTATGCCATGAAAATGTTGTCGTCGAGCGTTCGTTTCAGGAATTCTTATTTTTGAATCTTTCTCTTTGTTAAGCTTCTTTGACATGGATTCTTGGAGGGTATGATTCATATGACATATTTACTCGTCTGTATGTTCATGGGACGATGTGGATCACTATTTGAATTTCTCAAGGGATGTGACTTTGTTACCTACTAGAATGTTAGTTTAAGGATTAGATGCCCCTATTTTAGCGGAAAGAATTAATTTCTATTACACTAACAAATCAATGGAGGTATTTTTGCCTGAGACTTTTAATGGCCTAAAAGGGTAGGAACTAAATGTCAATTCTTAGTCTCAATTAGGAAAAAAAATATTCATTGCAATGATGATACCAGCAAGGAGGGGAGTGTTGACAGAAATTTGAAAAGAGAGATAACTATTAAGTTGAGAACGAATCAAGTTATGGGTGGTGTAATTTCATTGAAAATAACAAATATTGATATGAGATAGGAATGCACTGATAGGGACTAGAAATGCTGTGGTGGAATTCAACAGGAGTTACTGGGAACTTTTAGAATGGTAATGTAGGTATGGTCACAACAGCTGATGTCATCATGTTCACCTATCTAATTTTCATGTTCTTCTCTCTTTCTTCTGTTCCAAGGTGTATGGTTGACTAGTTTCCATGAAGAATTATGTGTAAGCTATTTGTTTGTCGTTGTTTTTCTGCCGTGCGCCTCCTACATACACATAGACTTCTTTTTTGTTTCTTTTGATTTTATTAAAGCTCCATTGTTTTTGCCAGAGAAATGGAGTCCAAACATGAGGTTGCTGAAGAAGAAACGAGAGCGTTATTGGAAGTCGTTGCCTCCACTGGGAAATTCTGGTATGCTTCTTCCTTGGTATAAAATTTTATCTTGCGCTATTATGCAGGTAATTTATGAGATTCATTATGGAGTCAGGTGGTCATATACCCAATTCTTCTTTATGGTGCCTTATGTTTTTATTTTGATGTCCTTTGTGAGAAATTTTTTTGTGTGGAGTTCACTCAGCAAGGAGCCAGGCTGAATTATCTCACCCCCCCCCAAAAAAAAAAAATTCCCTCTTTCATTCGTACAAATTTTCCATTATTATTGATATTTCCAAAAGCAAGCCCATAAATGTTTTGGCTTAACGAGGCTTGATCTACCCAAGGTCAAGTTTTGAGATGATTGATTCTTTATTAGAGTGAGAGCATTCTCTTCGTGATCACATATTTTTCAGTTTCAAGTGAAATTTCGTTATTGTATATTGTATGGTCTAATGGTTTTATATAAGTCTCTTAAGTTCAAGGGTTTTCCACAATCTCAAAAAACTATTGCTGCGGGTACACACTTGTATATGCTAGCTTTGTTGCCATATCTTTGCTAGTTCTCTCTTCCCCATCTATATCTCATGGCTTGCCGTCAATGTGATGCAAACGCCATGGATTTATTCTGTTCTTTTTCTTGTTTTAAAGTATTCATAATGCATTTCTTGTTTCTTAGGCACCACTGGGATGTATTAAAGAGCTCGCTATCCTATCACCTGAAGCAGGTATTGGGAAATATGGCAACACATAGGCCTCTAGTTACTTAACAACAATCAGTTAGTAAACCTTCGATCCTCTCCAAGGCTATGGGGTATGAGTTCTTAAACTTGTTAAATGTTTTGACGTGAAGGTCCTGTCTGAGTATCCAGAGGCAAACATGACTCCCGAGCAACAAAATTCTTCATTAGGAGAGACGTACCCTGAGCTGGTGAAAAGATTGGATGAAGGTATTTTTGGTGCCATGTGACTTCTCTGCATTTAGTCGCTCTGTATGTTTCTTGATGGAATGCCCTAAATGTAGAAATTAAGTTTTACTACATGCCATTTACGAGCTATATCCTGATACATCCTATTTACTTTTCCGTTTGGGGGATCATTCTAATCCTCTATGGATATATTGAATGATGAATCTTTTAAAGGCAGATGCCATCTTTTATAATATTTAGAGTATTGTTAGTAGTGTGCATGCTATGAGGATATCTTGCATCTGTTGTTCAGCCTATGACAACTTGTTCCTTCCTTGGTACAATTTCAGAATCCAATTCTAGTTTCTAGGTAGGTGCCTGCTTAATTTTGTTCGATATTAATTTATGGCAATATGATGAAATTGATCTCGGTAGCAGAAGGCATTCGACAGATAAGAAAAGCTGTTTACACCTTCTCGCCTTGACTATGTGAAAATTATAATTTGTGCTTTATAATTATCATTTTTTTTTCCTGAGGATTGTTACTGATTTGAATCTGATTAAAATAATGACGCCATGATGGAGAACCTTGCTCTTGTTTTGCTGCTACCCTGGCTTTTTTAATCAACCCATGGTATCATATATATTCAGTTAATAGGTTGAAAGACTTGATCCCAGGCACTTGGGTTGACTTCAAATCCTCTTCTTTGGTCTTCATCTAGAGCCATATCTTCCATCAAATGCCCATGTATGGTGGGTGAACCATATTGCAAACAACTGTAGGCAGTACTATGTTGATATGTTTGTTAGTTGTGTCTTCTGTGTTCTATGAGATTATCCTGACTTGTATTCGAATTTGTTTCTCCAGTACAAAGTCTGTTTGGGTATTTTCCGGAACCATTCACATTTTGCTATTCCATGTTGCAGCTTTACTCAGTTTTGTAGAAGGTCCTCCATTTACCCTGCAGCGGTTTTGTGAGGTGATTGTACTTCTTAATTATGAGTATAATGAAGGGTTTGGGTGTAATTGTTGACAATAAGATTGGCATTCACATATTTGTCAAAGGGTATCCTCTTAACTTTGGTAATAGATTCAACATTACTCATATTTTTGCAAAAGATGATTCCTCTTTTTCTTTGTTCATTGTTTTTGCAAAGTGGTTTCTTCTCTTGGGGAGAGGTCATGTGGGAAATGGTACTATGTGATTGCTTTTGGATTGTTTTTGCTTACTATTTGAAATTATTTCTTAGGCTTAGCAGTATGAATGACTTTTGCAATTTAATTTTATCTTAACTTTATATTAAACAGATCCTATTGAATGCACAAAGCATTTACTCAAATCTCTCAAAGCTTGCTCTTGCACTAGAAAAGGTATGTTGGCCAGGCATTATAGTACTTAGAGCATTTAATTTTGAATTTTGGATTCTTTTTCTTGGGCACTAGAACTTTATGGATTCTGCTCAGAAACCTGGATAATGCTCGGTTTTCTTCGAATTATTTTGCCATCTATTGACAAAGTATTGCAAAAACAGACCAACATGTCTTTACTTGTGCATTAACGTATGTTCTTTGAGTGCCTTCTCAACCCCTTAACAAATGGTGCCAAAAGAGAGAAAAAAAGGGAAAAGGAAGAATAGGAAATTCCAAATTTGATATCATGTATGTCTTCAAATTTTAAAAAATTGATGACATCAGAAGATCATGTGCTTATACTTGCAGTTCACTGTCTCTTGCTTTTAGAATCTGTCAGTGACATCTACGTTGGCAATCTGCACTGATGCATGTTCACCAACGGTGACTGGAAAACTAGAGAAACCTGACAAGGGACATGAGAAACATCTGGTGCACTCTAATGCAATACAGATGGGATCGAAGCTGTGACAAGATACAAAAAGATAAAATAGCGTGCACCATGGAAGCGATTAAAGAAATAGTTGAATTATCTGAGTCAAATTATGTTCTTCCCTTGATTTTCAGATCTTTGAGGTGTTTTCTTTGTAAAGCAGTTAAGTTTTATGGAGTAGGCCCGATGTTTCCTCGTGAGAGACTCATGATGATCAATGCTTTTTGAAGCCATGTTCTTGGTCTGTTCTTTTTGTTGCTCTGGTTCCTTTAAAATTTGCAATGGTAAGGGGAAGTGTAACTGCTGCCTCCATTAAATCACCTTATTCAGTTTGGATGATTCTGGCCTCATTTAGTCACCTTGTTCTTGTGAATGACGTTTGTACATATGGTTGATTAAGATTGAGGATTTTTTGACTCTTCAGCCTTGAACTTTGGCCCCAATTCTGTGTTGCATAACAGGTTGACCAATCTTACTCAACCGCTTTGGCCCCAATGCAAGCTTTTAAAATGCCGGGGCTAACTCTACTGCAGTATCGGGCATTTTTAATTCTGTATACGTTTGACGGTAAGTCAAGGTTTTTTGTTCTCTTTGTATTGTGTGTGTGTGTTGTGTGTGTGAGAGAAAGAGAGAGATTGTAATCAAAAGGGTTCTAACCTTTGGAGTTTGTTCTGTTAGATGGTGATGCTACCAACCACAGTTCATATTTTTTCTTTTATCTGTCCTAGAATTCAAACAATTGCACTGAATATAAACCAGAAAAGCATTGGATGAACTTTATCCCCCACACAGCCTTGGAGCCAGCACAAAGCTAATAACTAATCTCTCGTCTTTTAGAATGGTGCTGGGAATGGTGTCACCTACTTTAAAACTCCAATTAATTCCACAATCAGCAAAATGCCATACAAAACGGTTACTTCAGCTGGACTTAACAGTTTTGTTACTGAAATAGAAAAGTACAACACTCAGAAGGTTCATCTACTGGAGATTGTTAACTGAGCTCACCAGGGTTGCAAGAATATTATTTGACAGTGCAGATAAAGAAGCCTTCTAAGTTGCTGAACCTTGAAGCGTCTCCAAAAGAAGCTCAATTCTGTGCTTCATGACAGGCTGACCAAACTTCGTTTTCTTGAGCATTTTCTCTCTTAAAACTTTTCTTCGAGATAAGGCTCTTTCCCTTTCTTCCTCTTTTGTTCGATTTATTGCCTCCCTCTCAATCCTTGCCTTCTCATCTTCAACCTGCTTCTTCTCAAACAGTTCGTTCAGACTGCGAGAACTATTCTTCTGGTTCTTCTTGTGTGTCTGATTCATCTTTCCAGCTTCTCCATTTTCATTTTCATCCTGTATTATCACAATACACAACCAAAATGTCAACTGTTGATGACAAGTTAATTGCATTTTTTCAAATTGCAAAAATTATTTACAAGGATTGAATGGAAATCCTCATTCCAACTTCAATCTAATTGAAATGAAGAACAACCAACAACAGAAACAACTATCTGATAGGGCAAATAAAGACTCAAACCTGTAGCGGTCTTGTAGCCAAGGAAGAATCATCCTGTCCGGGTTGATGCTGCAGTGATTTCTTATACTTGCGCACATATTTGGCATTCTTATAGAACTCTCTTTGCTTCTCTGATTGAAAAAGAAAATTCATCAAAACAAAATTCTTACAAGTCATTAGAAAATAAATATTACATATAACTACCAGAAGCAGAAATACAAACATAATGGACAATCTCCCAATTGATCCATGGTGATTAACATGGACACTGTAAAATGAACGGCCCACTCAAGAAGCTCCTTCCGTCATTTCATCTTGCAACTGGTGATCAATGTTCTTAAAGCTCTGGCTCATCAAAAAAAGTTCACAAGACAGACTCAATTCTCCAACCTATTTCTTACAGTATGATTGTAATATATACGGGCAGCCCTATTTCGCACTCCCAAACTTGTATTATCACACTACACCCACTGTTCATATGAAGTTAATCACAACTGTATACAGACATGTTTGTATAATTATAGGTCTTCTCATTCAAATTGAATTCTGTATATCACAAACTCATCTGGAAATAGATGAACAACAGGGGCAGTACATCAGAAACACACCATATCAAATCAATCCGATACCCATAAAATTGCAGTGAAAAAACGTAATAAAACTTAAATTAAAGCAACCCTATAGTTTAGAGTATGAACGCATCTAACCATAGGTTACACTAAAGAATTATATAGATTAGAGAGGACTGTGAGAAAAGAAAGAGAGAGGATAAGGAATATACTGATAAATGCAGGGTTGTAGTTGTCGTTCTTTGTTTTTGCATTAACGAAGGAATCGAGGGAAAGACCTCCACCACCCAACCTCTTCATGTTTTTCTTCTTCGTCTGCATCATCATAAACTTCTTGTTCTTGATTGGGTCTGATCCCTTGTTATTCTCTCTGCTATAATAAGAGCCATCCTTGGAGATTCTATTCTTCATTCCGAGAAAGCACACGGATTAACTGGATAGATCGATTTACCCCGAAGCCAAATCCGGAATAAGAGGTCTGATCGAGAGAGAAACCTGGATGAGATCGAGTGAGCCTGATCGGAGATGAAGCTTGAGACTGTGAGAGAGTTGAGAGAAACCAGCGGCTTCTGGAGAACAGGAGAGAGATCGCACTTTTAGGGCAAAATTGCCCCCAAATTGCCATTTTTATTGGATTCAAGTATGCCCGCCCGGTTTGAACGAGTTAATCCTAAACCGTCCGATTTTATCGGTTCGAACCAAAATATGAGAACCAGTCCTGTTTAGGGTCTGGGCCCCCGATTTTGAGAGTCCATTTATTGGGTCGGTCCGATTCTAATAACGCTAGAGTTTCTTGAAATAAAATATTTGGTAATACCATCATCGTTATATGGTCTCATTTAATCTAATATTATAGTTATAAAATTAAAATTTTAATTTATAAAAATACAACAACGATTAATATTAATTTAATTTTTATGTATTTTAATCCAATGAGATAAAATTCATCTAAAATAATTGTTTTGACTCAAAACCATCATTTTCTCTACACGATTTTTAATGCCAGACAATCTCACTAATTCATAGTTACATCTCTTTGCTCTTCTCTACCTTACTCTTAAAGAAAAATAAAAAATAAATTTTTTATTATTTAAAATATAAATATTATACGATTAATGTTCAATTTTTTATATTACATAGTGCCTTCATAAAAATGTTATTGCTAGCCATCTATTATCTAATGACTACTTTGTTTTTTTTTCTTCTTTACTCTTTTTTTGCTGAATGGTTATGTCGATCTTAAAATTGATAATGTCTATGTTAGGCTCGAGTCACGTCTAAATCGGGTTAAGTGAAAATCTGTTTAAGGTATACCAACTTGTTTATTTTGGTGTATAGCCTATTAAACAATCACTTTGCTCTATAAAGTAAAAGAATTTAAGTATTATGGCTATCAATAAATCCCAGCAAGAAGCCTATAGATTAGTATTATTGCTTAAGTAAGGTATATCCTTTATTAATTGTTAATGTTATATCATTCACCATATTATATATTTACTTGAACCCTCAAAGTATTATTGCTTCTCTTTCTTCATATCATTGCAAGTACAAGAATATCATCTTCCCAACCCCCCCCCCCCCCCCATCCAAGGTACAACTATATTGTGCTTCCCTCAAGATATTATATCTCAGCTCACATATTATATAGATATGTTGTCATGCATTGGAGTCATTTGGTTGTATGGTTTTATTGCCAGCTTCTTCGTTCTCTGCAATATTGTCTTCTGGTTTCTTCGGTTCTGTCCATGCATTTTCATGTTTTTCCAGTGTGCTCAAGTCTATGACAGTTGCTAATTCTTGTAGCTTAACTTCTGGCTGAATTTGCTTCTTTTTGTCCTTGTAGATCACGTATAGTATCATTTGTGCAACTCCAAATATAAACCCTACAACATTTGGCGTCTAACCATGTAAAAACAAAAAACAAATATACAAAGTTAGTAGCTACACAAAATAAGGAAGCAATCACATCAAGTAGTTTTTTCGAAAAATTCATCTATCTCGTTGAAGAGTCATAAAAAGACAATTCATGGTACACTCATGATATGCTTATTTTGTATCTCTATTGGTATCGATATTCAAATTGTGTCGAATTATGTCTGCAATGTAACCTTGGGGTGTGCGAAATCTAGTTGAGATTGCATAACTAGCAAGTTCTTGAGGACCTAGCTGTACACTTACTGCTATGTAGAAATCCTTGATCAGAAGGCCGTAGAAGAACCACATAATAGCACATATTGTAAGAAAGAATGATAGGGAAACTGGCATGAATTCGACACTCTTCGTTCTTATGACTAGCCTCTGCAAGAGTGTGAAATTCATAAGGGGAATACATAGTAAAATTAGTGCAAAAACTTTGAACCTTAAATCATACATAGTCTATATATAAAATGATGAGTTGCTATAGCAAGTACCATGATGCTAAGAGGAGCAGCAAAAACGCTGACAGAAAACACAGCACAGATCCATCCAACAACCGTGACTCGACGGTGCCCATCTGAGAATATGGATGTGGAAAATACTATCAACCCATATGCTCCAATGTTAAATAGGACAAGCAGCTTTATAGTATAGATCTGCATACTTGCCAAACAATTTAATTGTGGCAAAAAAAAAGATACTGTGAATAACAAAAATTTTCTATACTTAAACAAAGAAGAGGAGAGAGAGACACCTTGGCCTGTTCTGTTGCATAAATCATGAAGATGATGAGATATGTAACTTCCATGACACATCCAATGGAGTTGATGGTAATGAGCATCATCCCGTTTGTCTTCAGAATGGCATAATACAAATATAGCATGGCACTGAATAGTGCAACCGCATAAGGTATAGATTGAAACCCTTCTGTTGATTTCTTCTTATATATCCTAGAAAAGGTCGACCTGAGAGAAACAAAAAAAAAATGGAAAACTCATTGAATTTACACATTACCCAACACTACACATTATATTATATGGGGGGAGGGGGGGGGGGGGGGGAGAGAGAGAGCTCTTACAATGGGGCCAAATACACCAAGAATGACACAATGTTGCCTAAAAAACAGTGGGAAAGCAAAAGAAACAGTATTTAGATATTAGAAAAGAGAAAAGAAGCAATTAAGGAAGAGTTTAGAGAGCAATGAATTGATTAATGGAGTAGTACTAGATACCAAGAATGCCAAAGGCACCGGCCATATGAGCAGTGAAGATTGTCATTCTTGAGGGTGGTGAAGCTCCTTGGTTGATGCTGAGCTTGGGAAAACTCTTATGCAGTGCCCACATTTATATAGCAACCAAAAGTAGGTGATGCAAAAAGATGGCTCGGCATTTGGCTTAAGCTGTCCAACAACTGGCCATGGATGTCAATTTTTGGGGTAATCATCTTTTTCTTTTTAGGTAAATTAAAATAAAAATGGGCAATTTTTTTTATGGGGGAAAATTCTAGATGAACTGATTAGAGTTGATAATTGAGTCGAGCCTTTGGAGCTCATTTTTTTAACTGAATTTAAAAAATTGTTCAAACTCAACTCGTTTAAAAGAAGAGTCGAGCCCAAAATTAACTGAATTTAAGCCGAATCCGAGTAGCTCGACTATTTTACATATAAACGAGTTTTCTAAACGAACCTAAAAAATTGTTCAAACTTGACTTATTTAGAACACAAGCCTAGTTCGACTTAAGTCCTATTTGAGCTGAACCTGAGTAACTTGACTCAATTATCAATCCTGGAACTAATCACAAAAACTCTCCATTCATGTATACTCTTCACTTCACATATATGGCTTTACAAATGTTTCACTAGCACCAAAAAAAAATGTTTCACTGGGACTTGGACTGCTTTTATTTAACTTCTTCAATTTCCAAATAATAATAATAGCATGCAATTTCATAATAATTATTGTGCAATAAAGGTAACATCTTCAAATATTTTGTTCAATAATCTCCCAATAAAAAATGTGCATTGTTCTTTAAATGTAATACTACTTTAGTTTAAGTTTATCGACCAAAATGATATATATTTTTCTCCGACACCAAATTTTTTTTATTGTTTTGTATTAAAAAAAAGAAAAATTATTTAATAAGAAACAGATAATAAAGAAGTTTGTTATCTACTAATAAAGCCAGTTAAAAAAAAATCTACTAATAAAGATTTGTTTTTGGAGGTTTAAATAAAGAATTTTGGTTGGGTTAGTTTGTCAAAAAAAGTTGGGCCTTGCTGGGCCTAATACACCACGGTGCCGTATGAGCGGCTTACTGGCTAGAAAGCGAAGCCGAGCCTCTTGAGCTTTTTGAAGACGTGAAGCAAATTGATTAATAATAACGACAAAAGGGGAAATGAACGGCGAGAGTTCATTTCCACTTTTGAGGACGGAGGGTTGTGATTTGAGAGTTGAGATTAGTGGACCCCAGTTCTGTTACGTTATTGATTCTACTACGTATTACACGGCTTGCTTTTGCCTTAAATGGCTTTCTTTAATCTTAGTCCATGAACTAAAAAGGGCATTTTGGTCACTGAATAGTGTTGTAATTGTTTGTCACGTCTAAATAATGTCTTAAACTACGCATAGCAATATCATCGCATGGTATGACTCAAACAGAGATTTCACCATTAATCAATGATTGCATACAAGTCCCATCAGCAGTGAGGGAAAAAAAATGTTATTTGATATTAAAATATTAGTTTTTTTTTATGAGAAATTAAAATATTAGTTGAATTTATTGATTTAATTAATCATAACTATTAAATTAGATCAATATTTTTAGTCCAAATCAGAAATGCAACTGTTCTCGTTACCTCATAGACAGCATTCAATATGAAGAAGAAAAAATGATTTCTCTCTCTATTCAACTATCGGTTATGTCTATTTATCTTTATGCCAATTATTCTCATAAGAGTAATTAAATATAGGGTCGGAGCTTTATGTGTTCGAGCCAAATTTATTAAGTTCATTTTTTGAAATGAGATCAAAAATTATTCAAGTTCAACTTATTTAAAATCTAAAATGAATCGAACCCGAGTAGCTCGACTATTTTACATATAAATGAGTTAAAAAAATTGTTCAAATTTGACTCTTTTAAAACACGAACCGAGTTGAGTTGAGCCTTATTCAAACTAAGTCCGAACTGAACCCGAGCAGCTTGACATAATTATCGACCCAAGTAAAATATGATAAAACTAAAAAAAGTTTAAAAAATCCGTTTGAAGTGACTTTCTATATTTTTTGATTTTTTTGTATCAAAATAAAAAAATAATTATATATGTATAGATTATGCATAATAGTTCTTAAAATATGAATTTTAATTTTTTTCATGTCACTAATACTAATATTTTATAAATATAATAAACTAAAAAATTATGTGAGGTCTTTGACAAAACTCCAAAAAGCCGAAAAAATGTTCATAAAATTAATTTCTTGAATTAGTCTAAATAAATTTTTTTGGATCAAAAAAACTATTGCATAAGTTGGTAAAAAAAATCAAGGTTTAAATAAACTTGATTTATTTTACGCTAAAATCCTTAAAAACTACCTATTTAAACTTATTCCAAACGGACCACTGTCACAAGAGTAATCAAACATGAACCTCTCACCCTTAACATATCATGTGAGGAGTCATTGAATAATAGTGCAAGGCCTAAATGAATTTTCCACCAATCATTTGGAATGTCTTTAAGATAATTTTGGTTTCTTATCAGTTTGTACTAATTAACCTAACCAATAACTGCATTTTCAGCCATGCAAGTTTGACTAAATTTGCATGTGCGTGGTGGGGATATGTAGGCCGACGATGATTTATATCGTGTTAGGTTCGTGATTTATGAAATAATTTATTCATCTTATAATTGATTCATTCATAATCGTGTATAATTGAATTCGTGTTGTGTTGTGTCGTTGATGTGTTTAGTCTAGTTTGTTTTCACCAATTTATTTGATAAAGTTATGGGCCGGTTCATCGTTTATTGTTTATCATCCGAGATTACTCAATGTGTCAGGTTTATGAATTGTGTCTAGAATTGTCAAGTTTGAGGATATGCAATGTTGAAGCCTCTACTAGTTCATGAACAACTGAATTATATGTTAAGTGGAAGACAGAAAGTTACAACAAACAAACACTTTATGGCATTCCTTGGTTGGGTTGGTTTTTCTTGAGGTTCTCTGCCATTCATGGTGCCTTTGTCCTTTATAGGTCCCTTTATTTAATCAGTTATGGTGCTCTCTTTGGCTTTAAATCTTCTATAGGCCTTACTGTTATTGGTTTGTTGTCATACCTTTTGTAAAAGGCAGGTTTAAAATGAGGTTTCACGAACAAAAATTGTAGATAATTTTATCGTCATTTTGGAAAGAAAAATTTCTAAACACAAGCTCGTGAAACTGTTGTTTTGGTAGATAAGCACGTGTCATTATTTTTCGACCTCTTCTTGGTAATTGAGTATGATATTAAAATCGATAAACAGAAACATTTACGAGTTGTTGTATACAAATATATTAATATCTCCTCTTGGACACCTCAAATGCAAATTCATTATCCTTATTAATGGTAGAATTTTGTGTCTATGGTCTATGTTCTATGTTGTGGAGTGGAGTTAACCTCACTGTGTACTTATTGATAGGTAAATAATTGGTGACTAAATTGTTGGACTAAAGCAGTTTTTGGACAATAAAAATTGATTTTTGATTGACTTTGAGTTTAAATTAAGTGAGATCCGTATATTGTTTTGAGTAAATATTCGTAGATTCGTGTTCTACTCTGCGAGGACAATAATATAATATATTTACTTACTCAAATTAAATAAGGGGTGAATGAAAAAATAAATTCTAAAGTAATCCTCTTAAATTATAGAAATAGAGGTTAAACAATGTGAGATAATACAATTCTTACATTAGTTGAGCAAGACTTATAAAGGATTCTTTGGAAGTCGGTACACCAAATTAGACTTATTTATCAAAAAGTCCATATTTAAAAACGTTTTGGAAAAAGGTACAGTACTTGGGTCCAAAGACTGAAATGCCTTTTTTTATTATTTTTATTTCCTTAAAAAATGTAATATTACAGTAATCATAACTGCTAAAATTTAGATTCCATTAATTCAAAATCTTTTCAACTTTCTCAAAAACTGTAATATATCTCTTTGTGTTCTAAGAAAAAACGGCTGGTCATTACTTCCATTCCCACAAAACCGCCAGACTTCATTTCCTTTTCAAAGAAGGCGATTCATCTTCTTCCTCATCCCGTTGTTGGTTTGATCAGAGAAAGGGTATTGAATCTCCATTGTTCATCGATTCAATAAGCATTCAGGTTACAAACCCACGATCGATTGAAGAGGGTTTTGTTTTTTCGGCACTCTCATTTGAAGTGGGTTTTTTCGGCCTTCCTTGCTCTTGATCTTTGCTCGATTGTGGTTTGAAGTGGGTTTTATTCTGTGTTCGTTGATTGTTTTGATCGTCGAAAGAGGTAATGTATGTTTGTATATTTATGTGTGTGTGTGTGTGTATATATATATATATATATATATATATATATTGCGTAATATGATAATGGGTCACCCGTAATCAAAAAATTTAGTACAATACAATTTTTCATTCCCTGTTTATTTAATTATGTTTTATCATAATGGGTTACATTACACTTCTCATCTCTTTTTTTTATGTCGTTAATTTCATGTATTAGAACACTAATTTGTTTGTTTGAATATTAAGTGGCCTCTAATGTTCATTTTTATTGTTTTTTGGTCAAATTATGTATTGTTTATACCATGAATTGTTGGATATTGTAACCCCTTTTTTTTTTCAATACTTGAATATATGTGTGAATTGGATTGACTGAATACATATGCACACAAGCGTTTGTTTCAAAGCAATGTAACTAGTGTTTGTGTTGTGTTTGATTATACAATTTATGTTACACTTTATTTGAAACACTTTTATTTTGTTTCACTTAATCTTTTTGTTTTAGTTATTAAACTTTGTTGTGCTGTGAAGTGTTAAGTGACACACTTGTTTATTATTCTTGTGTGTAAATATCTCTGATTACACTATGTGTTAATCCTAAATGTTGAATGTGTGAATATGACAATGTAAATATATAAAGTGTAACATAGAAAGGGTAACATATATAAAAATGTAACAAATTTACTAATATTGTGTTTAATAATGAACAATTAAACACGAAATAGTATATTATGTTTATAAGATGCTGTTGTTGGATAATAATATATTGTGCAGGAATACAAAATATTTATTCCTTGTTCAATAAGAATATGTTTTTTTTTTGTGTATTATCATAATGGGTTACATTACATTTTTTTCTTGTTTAAGTTTATATATTTAAATCTTATTTTAATTGTTTGATAATTTAAAACTATTTGAAAAATTATTTTTCGTTACACAATTAATGATACGCTTTTGTTATTATACTTGTTTTGAAACACTTTTATGTTGTTATATTGTTAAGTTTACTCTGATTTTTTGTTGTTATTTTAAAAGATTTGTGTGCCAGGAATGTTAATTGTCCGGGTTGTTTAGTGACATAGTTGTTTGTTCTTATATTCTGTGATTAAACATTTTTAAGATTACATGTGGATTGTGTTCACTTCATAGTGTAATATACAAACTGTAACATGTGAATGATAACACATAGAAGTGTAACAAATTTACCAAAATAGTGTAACAACATACTAGTTTATCAACAAAATAAAAAACAGTGGACCACTCCCAAACTTTCTCAATAACAATCCATTAGTGTACCGTGTAACACTTTACACTTCACACTTTCAATGTGACATGGAAAAAGGAGACACTATTACTGGTTATATTCTGTTTTGTGTTTCACTAATTAGACTGTGTTATACATTGTGTTTGCTTCACTTTTTGAATGTGTCATACATTGTTATTTGATTCAGTTATGTGGCTGTGTTATACACTGTTTTTTTTATTGTCTAATTTTGTTTATATTATTATATTTTTAGTTAATCAAAATTTTTTTTTGTCACTTCCCACCTCAAAGCTGTGATGGAAAAAAAACAAGTCGTGGAATCGAAGCAAGATGCTACATACAGATAGAATTTGCTTGCGATAATTAGAGCAATAGATAAAATTAACATTAGTGAAGCACACAATGTTATTTTGAGAAAAACATCATTCTAGTTACTATTTGAATCCATCATTGACAAAAAAATTAGACAGGACATGGTGTAGGAAGAGCGATACTATCATACATGATGTAATTATGTGCTTTAATGATAATAAATTTAAATTTCACATTGGTGGCGAGGACATTAAATTAAGAAGGAGTGATGTGAAAATAATTTTTGCCATTGATGATGGACGCGATCGCATGGATTGTTTATCTCATGCCAAGGAAAATATAAAATTTGTTCAAAGGAGATTCAAGAAAGATAGCAGGTTGACATCAACTTTGATAAAGGAGCAGATTGCTTGAAACAGCAAGAGGTACAAACAAACATGACGTTGATGACGTTGCAAGACTCTTATGCCTATTCTTAATGGTTACACTATTTTTCACAATCACTGGGACAGCTATAGGATGCGGATTTGTTTCATACGTTGAGGATATAGATGAAATGAAGAAATATGATTGGTCAAGTGTAACACGTGAATCTCTTATCTCTTCACTTCAAAAAAAGAGTAGCAACTCATCTAGAGTTAGTGGATGTGTAATGTTGTTACTGGTAAGATGTTAACAGCTTGGTTGTATTTTCAATATTATTTCCTACTGTCCAATAAACATAATGTAACTCATTTGATTAAATTAAATTTACAAGATCCTGCACAATATAAAAACGAGAACATATCTCTCTCTTGGTGAACTCGAGTGAGCCAGTTGAGTGACCAACCACGCTGCTTGGAACAGCCTGCGAGGTCCGGTGGTAACCTGAAACGGCAACGGGAGACCCTGGGGGAGCGGAAGAACGATCCAGTAAGGCTGAAAAAGGTTGCTAGAACAAAGAAGAACAAGTTAGAAGGGCGCCGGAGTATTTTTCGGCGTATCCCCTCCGACGATCTAGTCAGTCTTTGAGAGAGAGAGAGGAAGGAGAAAACACTGAGTGTGTATTGTAGTAAAGAGTTCTTTCTTGCATACCCGTCTTGCCTTTTGCAAGGAGTATTTATACCTCAAAAGCTCATGATTGTTGTCAGTGTAGTCAGTAGGTGATCATTAGGTACAGGCAGTGTGCGCACTGATTCTGATGAGGAATGTCTTCTCTTCTTAACTGCTCGGGGTCTCGAGCAATCAATGCTGTGTCATCGGGATGCCGACGGTACAATATACTCCTCTCGGGGAGGATGCAAATAAATGCTCTGTATTAGGAGCATTTATTGCCTTTCATTTCCGAGTCTTACCGCATTGAATGCAGTCTCGTCAAAGGAGTGGTGTAATTAATCGTTTGTGTTCCCAAGTCACGTGTCAGCAACGACATGCGGCTTTTCTGTTTTTGATGTGATATCGTATGCCACACGTCCATTCNGAGGAGGCGTCCAGGACGGGGTACACCTCGGCACCGAGGAAAGGCTCATCTCGAAATCGAGGGAGGGATACCGACCGAGGTACCATATTAGACCGAAGNGTGATATCGTATGCCACACGTCCATTCCCCATTGGTTGTGGCCCTTGCATTCCAGTACGTTCTGACACTAATTGTGTAAGACGAGGTCATGATGAATAGCCTAGACTAGCCTAGGCTAATGACCTGTACGTCAATAGCTTATCTTGGAGTAAAGGAGGCGTCCAGGACGGGGTACACCTCAGCACCGAGGAAAGGCTCATCTCGGAACCGAGGGAGGGATACCAACCGAGGTACCATATCAGACCAAGGCTATGTGTTGATTGTAAAACGTACTGAATGCCATGATCCTATATGACGAGTACCTCGGGGGCGAGGATCTTGTGCGCTGATGGTGGTTAANACCGAGGAAAGGCTCATCTCGGAACCGAGGGAGGGATACCAACCGAGGTACCATATCAGACCAAGGCTATGTGTTGATTGTAAAACGTACTGAATGCCATGATCCTATATGACGAGTACCTCGGGGGCGAGGATCTTGTGCGCCGATGGTGCTTGATCTTAGCAACAGTGTTTTGGTAAATACCGATGACACGTGTCTTCAACATGAAGTATTTCAGAAAAGTCTCATCAGNTCGTAAGGAGACGAAGGGTTTCCCAACAACCACCAATGCTTCATCATTGCCTCGAGTCGCTTTCCCCTGCTTGGGATGTCTTGTGCACTAAATATGNCAAAAAAGAGTCTGAAAAATTGTTTAAGTTCGATTCGTTTAAAAAATAAGTCGAGTCCGATCCGAGCTAAACCCGAGTTAAATTTTTTCTAAAAGAATTTAAAAAAATTATTCAATCTTAATTCATTTAATCATGTTATCAGCGCCGGTTGTGTCACTCTTTTATTAACACTCGGCCAAGCAGTTCGAGAGCGTTACAGTTCTTCGGTTCATCAATGCCCCCAACTTCCCACCTTCTGAGCCACCAACCAGTTGTATTGACATATATAAATGGTAATGATGGCAGTCCTTCAACGTAAACTCTCCCGGCTCTTCTCTTCTCATTCTCTTCTCTTCTCTTCTCTTCTCTCTTCTCTCTCTCTCCTCTGAGAGCCCATACAAGCCCACCATGGATGGAGTACTAAGAAGTGATGTGAAGGTGGATGTAAGTACAAGGAGGGTAAGGTGTTATGATTTGCTTCTTCGGATTCTGGGGTTGGCCTTGACAATGGTGGCTGCAATTGTGGCTGGTGTTAATAAAGAGACTGAGACCATTCCTGTCACTCTTGTGGACGGCATGCCTCCTTTGCGTGTCCCGGTAACTGCTAAGTGGCAGCAAATGTCATCTACTGTGTGAGTAATTTTTCACTCTCTTATCTCTCTTCTTCCATATGTATGCAAGATTTCGAATGGTTAATTGTTGAGAAATAGTTATGGTACTATTTAAAAGTACTGGTCGATATTAATACAAGTCGGTCAAGTCATATTTGACTCGACATTTTTCGAGATGACATTGTTATATGAGTCTCGTATGATTCGATCGAATTATATTCGAGTCAATTCCGAGTTGCCGAATTATCGTCACTAAATTGATCGGTTCTCGTCATGTTCAATTTTTTTTTAGGTTGTATCGTCTAATACCGCGCCTCCGAGTCAACGGCCAAATCGGTCAATTTTCGTCATGAATTTCTTAGTTCTGAATTCGGAAAGAAAATTAATCGAAATGCATATAAGTTAACATAAATATACTGATTGCAATACTTGAAAAAAAAAAAAACAGAAGATACTCTTAATAGGACCCATTTGTTTTTTTTTTTTTTGCGGGTAAAAAAAAAAGGTGGGGGTATATGAGAGCACCCAGAGACTATATCAATAAACTGGTGAGATCACAAAGTTTCTAACTGCACCTGTTAAATTTAAACATTTAACTTCAAAGTGAAAAATTCAACCAATACTCCTGTCGGTGGTTACTAATACCCATTTGATTATGGTGGGTGCACTTGAGAGAGTAGATGCTGACTATAGTTGTCTATCACCGTTGTGAGAAGTCAAATGCCAACTGTAAATCTGGGACACCCTGGGGTTCCTTCCTTCAATACGGACCCACGCATTGATCTCTAAACAAGGTTACCCCTGCCCCTTGACTACAATTGTAGACTAATGAAAAGCATACCCATTAATGTGGAGGACTAGATCATAGTATAAAGCATTTCACTATGCTAACTACCAATCTCTATCATATATGCACCCCATTAACGCCCTGACCTACCCCCCAAAAAAGAGAGAAATTCATGCTCGATTTGATGTCAGGTTTTAATACTGGATAAAATATGATATATATATATATAGAAATGTCCTTAAAATCGACTTGTCACAAACACTAATTCTCCCACATAACTTTGATTTTTCAGATACTTTGTCACGTCCAATGCTATAGCATGTGCATACTCAGCGATATCATTGGTACTCCTTTTGGCGACGAGGAATAGGAAAAACAATGTTGCATTGGCACTTCTTATGTTGGACCTCATCATGGTGGCGCTGCTCTTCTCCGCCAACGGGGCAGCAGCGGGAATCGGAATCATCGCACTTAATGGGAACTCACACGTCCAGTGGCACAAGGTGTGCAATGTTTTTCCCAATTACTGCCGCCGTGGTGCAGCTTCCATCGTGATGTCTATGCTTGGATCCGTGGTCTTTCTTTGGCTGGTGGTGCTTGCTGCTTTAGACCTTCACAGGAAATCTAGGTGAAGTAGAATTAGGGGGTGGTCTAATAAGCAGTTTTTTCACTGCACTGGTGGTGGTCTTTATTAAATCAATCGTATGGCTATTGGACTAGCTGTTAATGCTTAGTTGTGCTTGTGCTTGTGCTTGTTTACTAGCTACATTTGTACCCAAACAATTATATAAATCTTGCATTGATGTGCTAATATTGTAGCAAACTTTGCTACAGACACACAAACCGCGTACATGAGCACATAGACAAACACAGATTATTTTCATGATCTTTATTGCGTAACATTTTGAACTCACCTTAAAGGAGGAAAGAGTAAATGGAAAGCCAAACCATCCCAATCATGTTCTTGGAATTGGCAGAATTTGCTCAAGTTAAGGTCAGCCATCAGACCTCACATTTGCCATATAACTGGAAGAGGGGAGAGAACTCAACTGTGGCAAAACAACTGGCATCCACTTGGTCCATTGGTACTAAATTGGAGCACAAATATCATAGTGGCCCCACACCTCCCAGCCAATGCCAAAGTAAATTGCATTGTTGACAACAATCAATGGTATTGGCCTTCTATTGGTTCACTGAGCTAATGGAAATTTCTTAGTTCATGCCCAACTATTCACCTTCCTCACAGAGAGATGATTTAGTCAAACGGACGCCGGTAGCTAATGGCCTCTTTTCTACCCCATTAGCTTGGAATATTCTAAGGATGCCTGCCCCTGTGGGCCTGGTATCACCTCGTATGGTATGGTCAATCTATCCCCAGAATGAGCTTTATACTCTGGTTAGCCATCAGACTTCAGACTTGGCACAAGGGATAGTACTCACATGTTCAATCACCAAGGTAGAGTGGAGTGCATACTATGCAGGCAAGCAGTAGTCGCACGTGCATTTATTCTTTGAATGCCCATTTTCCCAAACCTGTCTGGGCACATATCATGAGGTTGTGTGGAGAGCAATGGCAAGTCAGGCCTTGGCAAGAGATGATTACACATGCGCTCAAGTCTGTGGAGAGGAAAAACCTTGCAAATCGTGCTTCAAAAACTCAGTCTTGCTGTAACTGTTTACCACATATGGATGGAGAGAAACTATAGACTTCATCAAAATCTATCAAGAAACCAGCTCTCCCTTCTTAATTGCCCAGACCATAAAAAATAGAGTTGCTTCTCTTTAATTCAAATCTTCCCCCATTAATATGAAGTTAGCTCAAGCATGGCAGCTACCCACCAATTGCTTGGAGTAATTGGCTGATGGAAACCAGAAAGATCCCCCTCAGTTTGGTTTGTTTTTGATTGGCATCATGTACTCAATGGTATAGTGTTATCAGCGCTCTTTTATCATAGAATTTCGAGGGAAGTGATGATACACAAAATCGGTTTGCACACCACTAGTCAATTAAGTAACATGAAATGAAGTAAAGTAGAGAGAAAGAAATAGAAGACAAGGTTTATAGTGGTTCGGCCGTAGCCTACGTCCACTTTGAATGACTAGGTTTCCGAAATTTTATTATCTCCGGTGTGGAGGGAGAGCACATGATTACAAGTTTTGAAAAGGGAGGAGAGAATTATAATCAAATGAGTCTGATGCCCCCCAGTGTTAGNGACAAGGTTTATAGTGGTTCGGCCGTAGCCTACGTCCACTTTGAATGACTAGGTTTGCCGAAATTTTATTATCTCCGGTGTGGAGGGAAAGCACATGATTACAAGTTTTGAAAAGGGAGGAGAGAATTATAATCAAATGCATCCGCCCCAGTATTGTGGGAGCTTACAATTTATAGTGGCTTGGCATAGTAATTGTATGACTAGTCTGACGGTCATAATAGCTTAGGACCGTTTGATAGTAATTAGGTAGCTGATCTGGCGGAGGCGACCTATCATCTTCTCAACAGACGAGGTGTGACGGTTGGTGTGCTCTCTAAAGGACTTGTTCAATGATGAGAGAGGTTGACTCTCTCCAAGTTGCGAGAGTGAGGCTCTTGGATGCTCCCTTGGTGGTGAGGGTAANTACAATTTATAGTGGCTTGACATAGTAATTGTATGACTAGTCTGACGGTCATAATAACTTAGGACCGTTTGATAGTAATTAGGTAGCTGATCTGGCGGAAACGACCTATCATCTTCTCAACAGACGAGGTGTGACGGTTGGTGTGCTCTCTAAAGGACTTGTTCAATGATGAGGGAGGTTGACTCTCTCCAAGTTGCGAGGGTGAGGCTCTTGGATGCTCCCTTGGTGGTGAGGGTGAGGTTCCTAGATGCTCTCTTAGTGGCGTAGAGGAGGCTCTTGGATGACCCTTACTTCAAGGTGGTAGATGACCTTCTTGGATGACCCTTACTTCAAGGTGGTAGAGGAAGCTCTTAGATGACCCTTACTCCAAGGTGGTAGGGGAGGCTCTTGGATGACCGTGCATGCTCCCCTGCTGATGTAGCTCCTTGATCTTGATAAGGTTATCCGGGTATAGATTCCTTTGAGGTTGACTAGCTGGATCTCTTGGAATTGGGTCTTTAGCTCGGACCAGACTTATAACATGGGTTGGGCCTGGCCCATCATTTGCCCCCCAATGCCCTGCGTCAAACAGAACTTTGAAAGGAGAGCATTTAAGTTGAATTTGAATTTTCGACTGACCGGCATAATTAGAAAAACTTCGAGAGGCCAAAATATCCGTTTATAGGCCTTTTTTGGACTTTTAACAATATCATTCACAAAGCATTGGTTGTGAGTATTGTAGAGCTCGCCGAGAGTTTCGATTTAATATATTATAAATCTCATTTCGAGCAACGAANTTCCTTTGAGGTTGACTAGCTGGATCTCTTGGAATTGGGTCTTTAGCTCGGACCAGGCTTATAACATGGGTTGGGCCTGGCCCATCATTTGCCCCCCAATGCCCTGCGTCAAACAGAACTTTGAAAGGAGGGCATTTAAGTTGAATTTGAATTTTCGACTGACCGGCATAATTAGAAAAACTTCGAGAGGCCAAAATATCCGTTTATAGGCATTTTTTGGACTTTTAACAATATCATTCACAAAGCATTGGTTGTGAGTATTGTAGAGCTCGTCGAGAGTTTCGATTTAATATATTATAAGTCTCATTTCGAGCAATGGANAACTTTGAAAGGAGAGCATTTAAGTTGAATTTGAATTTTCGACTGACCGGCATAATTAGAAAAACTTCGAGAGGCCAAAATATCCGTTTATAGGCCTTTTTTGGACTTTTAACAATATCATTCACAAAGCATTGGTTGTGAGTATTGTAGAGCTCGCCGAGAGTTTCGATTTAATATATTATAAATCTCATTTCGAGCAACGAAGCAAAAATTACGGTCAAAACTTTGAGCTAGAGATAGGTACATGGTTTTAGGCGAGCAGAGCACTTCTGAGCGGGCACATACTGTGCTAGGCAAGCAGAAAGCCTCTTGGTCGAGCTGAATTTTTTTTTTTAAAAAAAAAAAATAACTTCTAGAGGCCAAAACACCTCTTTCTGTGGGCGCTTTTTGGACTTTTTTTAAAATCTCATTACCATAAGTAATGAGTTTTGCTCAGCTCATCGAGAGCTTCGATTTGGTAATATAATAACTCATGTTTTGAGTTTCAGATCAAGAGTTACGGTCAAAATAACGTACAACTCTTTTTAAATTCNGATAGGTACATGGTTTTAGGCGAGCAGAGCACTTCTGAGCGGGCACATACTGTGCTGGGCAAGCAGAAAGCCTCTTGGTCGAGCTGAATTCTTTTTTTTTTTAAAAAAAATAACTTCTGGAGGCCAAAACACCTCTTTCTGTGGGCGCTTTTTGGACTTTTTTTAAAAATCTCATAACCATAGGTAATGAGTTTTGCTCAGCTCATCGAGATCTTCGATTTGGTAATATAATAACTCATGTTTTGAGTTTCAGATCAAGAGTTACGGTCAAAATAACGTACAACTCTTTTTAAATTCGAATTTTCTGAAAACTGCCCTTGATCGGCGACCTCCTCCCTTCCAATAGACTCCTTTTTCTTGTAGGACTCCATTGACTATATAAACTCCCTCATTCCTTTTTTTTTTTTCGAACAATGTCGAATGGTGGAGATCATGTGCTAAGGTCTGCAAATCTTGTTGTGCAACTTGGAAATGTTGGTGTTGTCCCCTGGAGAAGAGATGGATGTGCATGGCCCGCAGGACTTGCTACTGGGCGAGGGCTGGGCACCCATGTTGGCGAGGCAACGGAGACCTTGGGTGAACTGGTTGCTTGTGAGGCTGGCGGTCTAGGCAGCCTTGGTGATCTGGGCGAGCAAACCAGGGAGGCCCCTGTTGTGTTGGGCAGTCCTTTAGGCGAGTAGAGCTTGGGCAATCATGTCTTGGGTGAGCAGGACTTAGGTGCAGGCTGCAAGGAGAGGTGCTGGGCAAGCACTTCTGTTGGTCAGGGATTGGGCGTTGAGGCCCAGGTGCAGGGCACCCAGGTTGAGGCGACCCAGGCGAGCACGAAGCCCTCGAACGAGTGGAGCAACTCTGGGGAGTGCACCGATGGGTGCCTTGGTGCTGTTGTATGCGTGAACCAACTAGGCGAGCATCCTACTGTGCTTGGGTGAGCAATTTGTTGTGCTTGGCATCTTGGGCAAGCATAGGTATGCCTTAGTCGCTAATCCAGACGAGCAAGGAGGAGGAAAGAGGGCTGGTCTTGGTGTGTAAGCGCCATAGAGCACCATTTTGGGTGAGCACAAAGGGTTAGGTGCCCCTCCAGGCGCTAATAGAGGGGGTCAGGCACTTCTTGGCGCCGCTAGCCATGCGTCTCAGGCGTTAAGTGCTAGATGGATGAGGCCCCGATTGTTGATATTCAATTTAAGGTAATCCCTCGGGTTACAGACGACTTGAGTTTCAAGATCCTGACTAGAGATGACAAAAATAATGTTATTCCAAATATTTAAAATATCTAACATAATTACCTGGAGAAAAGTAGGCCACTTGCGCGAGAGCAAAGACAGAGTTTGAGGACTGCTCGTGAGAGAGCTTCACCTTTTGAGATCGAGTCTTTTAGCAACTCATGAGAGAGTTCTTGAGCTTAAGATATAGATTGTCTGTTTGAGAACAGTGCAGAGACCAAGCTTTTGGGCGACCCGCGAGAGAGCCGCTAAGCTAGGGATTTAGGCTGCTTGTTTGAGAACAGTGCAGAGACCAAGCTTTTGGACGACCCACGAGAGAGCCGCTAAACTTGGGATGTAGGCTGCCTGTTTGAGAACAATATAGAGGCCGAGCTTTCGGTGACCCGCGATAGAGCCGCTAAACTTGGGATGTAGGTTGCCTGTGTTGGGAACAGTGCAGAGGTCAAGTTTTTGGCGATTCGCGAGATGATTCACCTCGCTCAAACCTGTTGATTTCTTCAGTATTCATATATTTTTGAACTTTTGCCAATAGTTCTGGCATGTTCTTTGATGGTCGCTTCATCACTGAGAAAAGGAAGTTTGACGAGCGAAGGACTCCCAAGAAGGTGGTCATTGTTACTTTGTCATTAGGCTCCTCAACTTGGAGGGCCTCCTCGTTAAAACGAGTGAGGTAACTCCTTAGGCTCTCGTCTCGGTCTTGCTTTATGCTAAGTAGGTGGGTAACAGGCTTCTGGTGGTAGAGAAGAAGGTAGGGTGCCTGGTGAGGAGAGCTGGTCTCCAGGAGGGGAGAGCAGGGCACCAGGAGAGGAGAGCAGGGCGCCTGGAGAGGAGAGCTAGTCTCCAAGAAGGGAGAGCAGAGCGCCAAGAGAGNGTCTCGGTCTTGCTTTATGCTAAGTAGGTGGGTAACAGACTTCTGGTGGTAGAGAAGAAGGTAGGGCGCCTGGTGAGGAGAGCTGGTCTCCAGGAGGGGAGAGCAGGGCGCCAGGAGAGGAGAGCAGGGCGCCTGGAGAGGAGAGCTAGTCTCCAAGAAGGGAGAGCAGAGCGCCTGGAGAGGAGAGCTGGTCTCTAGGAAGGGAAAATAGGGCACCTGGAGAGGAGAGCTGGTCTCCAGGAGGGGGAGAGCAGGGCACCAGGAGAGAAGAGCAGGGCACTTGGAGAGGAGAGCTGGTCTGTAGGAAGGGAGAGCAGGGCGCCAAGAGAGAAGATCAGGGCGCCTAAAGGGGAAAGCTGGTCTCCAGGAGGGGCTTGGGCGCCAAGCCTAGACACCTGCCCTGTGTGCCTGGGCACCTGTGCTGTCTTGGGCACTTGCCTCATTATTCTCCTCTTCTTCTGCTGGTATAAGCTCAGCAACAAAATTTGCTAATGCTTGTGCTATGATGGCCGCCCTTGGTTGGTATTGAATATCGAACTCCCCAAGTTCTACTGCCCATTCTTGGAGTCTCCTAGATACATCTGGTTTTCTCAAGACTCTCTTCAAAGGTTGGTCTCTCCTGTGCTGGTTCTCACCCTCCTCCTCTTGGAAAAGAGGGTCTATACCATAAGAAGGGGGAGCTGGAGGAAGAGTTGGATGTCCCTCGTGGGAGCTCTCCTGTGCTGGGCACCTAGTGGGGCTCCCAAGGGGCTCCAAAGGGGACGCCCAAATGAGAAGCACTCATGTGGGGAGCTCCTTGACGCCCAGGGCGTAGAGCTCCTCGAGTTTGAGGTTCAGGTTGTGCTCCTCCTTGCCCAGCGAGCATTAGCTGCAGGATCTGCTGGTTCTGGGACGGAAGTTGTTGCATGGTCTCGAACATCTGCTGCGCATTTAGGGCAGGATTGGTTGGTTGAGGAGTAACCTCCTCCTCTCTTGATGGTTGATTATCTTCAAGCTGATTCATGGATCTGGATCTGATGGTGATCGTCATTGATTCAGCAAATGAAGTGTTTAAAAGTGAGAATTTTGTCGTTCCCACAAAAGGTGTCAAACTGATGATGCACAAAATCGATTTGCACACCACTAGTCATTTAAGTAACATTTGAGTTTGACTAACTGGATCTCTTGAAATTGGGCCTTTAGCTCGAACCAAACTTATAACATGGGTTGGGCTGGCCCATCAGGAAGTATCGATTCCAGGCCTTTACTTCCTTCAGAATTCTACACCCTTCGAGCTCTCTGCCTTTTGTATAGGTTGCAAAGTTACAATAGGTGATACCTATTGTATTTTGTAAGGGTATCACCCTGACACACATGTATATGTCTGCCTGTTGATCAATGGAATTTTTTTATTTTCTGACACAAAACATTTTGTAATTCAAAAAAAAAAAAAAGTGTTCATTAAATATGCAACTTAAAATCAATTCTCAATGAGTGAAGAGAGGCTTTTTTTTTTTTTTTGGGGAAAGTGAGAGAGGCTTATAAAACTCATATACTAGATCGAGATGTGCTATTTTATCAATGTGGAACACAAACTCTAAACAACCATTATTTTTTTTGAAGGGCACACCTTTTCCATTTTTTTACGTGCAGAAATTGTCCCAAGTGCATGTTCTTTGTATTCATCACTCCAACACACCTCAAATACACATAACCACGCGCAAACTACGTGCATCTGGATGTTAAGTGGCTAGAAAGACTCAAACTCAGGTAATGCGAGTTTCCAACTCACTTCTTATTCGATTATTGAAATAACTCAGCACGCATTAATCACATTTCTACAGTGTTGAAAAGATTTAGGGCTGTTCTTGGGAAATATTCAAGTATTAGTTTTTGTGTGGTGGTTTTGCTTTGAATATGCCTCAGCCAATCATAATTATGTAACTCAAATATTGAAGATCATGGATCCACAATTTCAGTTTGTACAGATTTCAAGCTGAGAACATTTGTGCCTGTTGATGACATGAAGAAGAAGTAATCAGCAATGGACTTTGGATGGATGTACTAGTCTCTGAATTCCCTTTTCATAGGTAAGGTTTCTATGACGAAAGATAAGTCTGGAGAGCTCGGATGAATGAGGGTAAGGGTCAAGCATTTGGGCAGGCGGGACAAGTGTGTCAATTGACCAATGGCAAGAAGAAAAATAATTTTTATATGAGACTCTGTTTGGTTTATAACAGAATACTTAGATTTGATATGCTATACTTTCTACTTAACTTATTCACACTGTCATATTCACATGATTTTAAGACAAATAACCTACATGTATAATAGATTTCACATTTTGAACTGAGAGACTTAAACATTCCAATCCTTTTGCTTTCACAAGCCATTTTTAAACATATTCAGATGAAAAATTATATGATTACTTAGACATCAGAAGCAACATAAACTACCAGACAGAATTCTGATATCATCACTACATACCAGCATTTCATTGATCCATCTTAGCAAAACGTCCCTTGATTCTGGTCCTACTTTCTGCCCGAACCTTCCGTGATTCATATCTGATGTGCTTATCATACCTGCATATATGAATTAAGAAATTCGATTATGTAAGTCCAAATATGACGACAAAGTTATATACGAGGGCTTGTGCTTTATGCAGATTGATAATTAATGACATCCCCATTTAATCCCAGATATATGCAATGATCATGTATGGTTAACTGATCACTGAAAGAAAGAGTTATTGTATCGATCCGGTAAATTACTGAATGACTGAGGCTTTCCAGACCATCACAGCATCCATCTTGGGAAAAGCTCCGTGTATTAGCATTATTAATTGTTTAGTAAGGAAACAGGAACAAAATAATCACATGCAACCTAGTAGCTCTTATGTTTTCAATAAGTATTATGGTATTATAGTTAACTCATATTTTTTTCAAAAAATTAATTAGAGAATAAAAGCATGACCTTCATTCTGTTGCTGAAAATTGAGCTTTACAAACAAAGTCACTAGTGGATTCCCCAAATTATTTCTGCTTATTTTCGACATAATTCCAATTGCCAAGCTTACTCTAATTCTAAATTTTTCTCAAACTCACGGCTAGGCGCCATAAATCTCCCGGAAAGAATCATGGAGCAAAGAATAATGTAAATACCTCCTAGTTTTCTTCTTCTCCTTGTACCGGGAGAGTGCAAAGTCTCGGTCTTGGCTGTTTAACTCCCGTGCAGCAACTTTAGGAAAGACTTCTAAGGTTTCAGTACAAACAGGATTACACGGTTGTCCTTCATGACCACCATTGGCATGACCTAAACTGTCACCAATATCTGAATCTTTGTCTGGAACCAAACGGTTTGTATCAACATAGCTTCCATATAAGGAAGAAGGAAGATTTTGATCTTCCATCTCACCAGTCTCAGTGCACCACTGAAATGCGCTTACCTGCAAGCAGAAACAATGATCAATCACTTTTGCTTTCCTGTTTTATTTTCTGCACTTTTTATCTCTCCTTTTTTCTTAATTTTTGGGATGAAGAACTTCCCTATTACATCTTTTTCGAAGCCATGAAGGTGGAGGAGCATAATAATTAAGAATGTACATCCAGTCAAGACTGGTGTAAAGTAAGCAAAACAGGTTTTGTTGTGGAGGTAACTGGTGGTGCAATAATTGAAGTAGAAGAAAAAACAAAAATAGAATAGACGGGTTNGTCCTTCATGACCACCATTGGCATGACCTAAACTGTCACCAATATCTGAATCTTTGTCAGGAACCAAACGGTTTGTATCAACATAGCTTCCATATAAGGAAGAAGGAAGATTTTGATCTGCCATCTCACCAGTCTCAGTGCACCACTGAAATGCGCTTACCTGCAAGCAGAAACAATGATCAATCACTTTTGCTTTCCTGATTTATTTTCTGCACTTTTTATCTCTCCTTTTTTCTTAATTTTTGGGATGAAGAACTTCACTATTACATCTTTTTCGAAGCCATGAAGGTGGAGGAGCATAATAATTAAGAATGTACATCCAGTCAAGACTGGTGTAAAGTAAGCAAAACGATTTTGTTGTGGAGGTAACTGGTGGTGCAATAATTGAAGTAGAAGAAAAAACAAAAATAGAATAGACGGGGTTTTTTTTAGGCAAGACATGTCCAACACACTACCTGCGAAATAGTAATTTCCCCACTATGATGCAGATGGATGAACTCATGAAAATTTTATGCCTCCGATACAATGCCTAGCACAAAACTTTCTAAGACTGTTTCTTAGAAGTCTTTGAACGTAGAACTCAATCCAAATGAAAATCAGAAAGTAGATTAGAAAATAGGAAAAAGAAAAGTCTCTTCAAATTCATAGGAAGAGTTGTGGCTATTCATTTAAACGGCCAATAGACACTAATTTAGAGGGGTTATAGCCCTTGGTTAAGTGACCTTTTGAGATAAATTGTCAATAGTCACTTTAACCACCAATAAATAATTAAATATACAATATATCATTGTTAGAAAATATCATATATACAACCACCACAAGGTAGAAAAACATCCAACAGTGAAAGAAATGTCGACCATCCAAAAGGGGTGGAATAGAGAAAGAAAGAGGAGGGGGGGGGGAGGATTATCACCTTAAAAAATGAAAGATAGCCACCACCAAGACTATTGTGATATTGAGTGCTAAAAAGTAATCTCAAATTGATGTTATGGGTATATTAACCTAAAAAATCTGGCCAACGAGACATTCGTTTGATGATATAACTACCCATCTTGCACCTTTCTCCTAAAGCCAGAATAGCAAAAGCTTTATACCACCACCAGTCATAATTCTACCAGCAATGATTGTAAAAGAAAGATTTGTGGCATCGCTCACCATTAAACCATGCAACATAGAGGCCTACGGAATAACTCAATTACAGACCCATTTAACACACCCATCCACTATTTAGCTGCCAATTATACCATTGTTCCTTTCTTCTTAAACAGATATAGACAACAGAACCATAAAAGGACACAAGACCAAGAATTTATTGGCAAACAGTCACAAAATCAATCATCCACTTGTGAATGTAGCTAGACATGTTACAGATACCACAAACAGATTACAGAAGGCTTGAATGCATTCTCCTTTCAACCCTGGCGGATGAGCAAATGTAAATGCCAACCTGAACAAAACACATATTCTTTCTTAATAGCTTCCTCAATAGCGTGTAGGCTCCTCTAATTTTCCCGCTCTTTCTCACAAGCCAGTTCCCACTATTACCCACGTTAAGCCATCACTAACCCCCTAATGTGCGTTGCCTATTCGTATAGATGCCATACAAATCTAACTAGAAAGACAAACGGGTTTGCAGAGAGAGGAAAATAAGCTGTACCTCATAAGAAGGAGTCAAGGTTGGCTCTGCACCATGTTCAAAACCTGAACATATATCCCCCAATTGGAGGTTTTGTTCAGGTACGAGAGATTGAAATCCAGTGAGGGGTTCAATGTCTCCTTGATCATCATTAAAGGTTGGTTCCAACTTCGCCATTTCACGAAGCTGACGAAGCATTTCTTCCTTTTGTTGTCCACAAGAAGCGTTTCGATTCTGATTCCATAACAATATCCTGAAGCAAGTTAGAACTTACAATAACCAAAATACAAGCACGGTGAGGTGAGCACCACAATGTGTCTCATTCCCAATATAATAGTACCTCGACTTAGCATGAAATCAACTGCTATTACCAACAAATCGTCCATTAATGAAATGAGAGAGCAATCAGTGAATTCTTTTTTTTTTTTTTGCTAGTGAAAAAAAGGAGTGAAAACAAGGAAGAGTGTCTAGCGACCATCCCAATTGGTTTTCACCGATGAGATCATAAGGCTTCTGACCATGCCTGTAATATCTCTCGAGATTGGACCTAGTTAGGCTAGCATAGAGGTCAATCACCAAATCCCAATAAGAATTTCAAGGCTTGAATTCCCGACCTCAACATAAAGAGTAACGCCGGTACCCCACTATACCACCCTACTTGATTTTTGAGCAATCAATGAATTCAACATGGAAAATGTTAACCTATCTTTGTTTATCTAAACAAAACCCCCCCCCCCTCCCCCCCAAAAAAAAGGCCATTTTCCACAGAAAAAAAAATATTTGTACAGCTATACGGTAACGTGTCATACTTGTTAACACAACACAAAATTAGAGAATTTTGGTCTTTTTAAGCCACCCATTTAGTAAACGAGTGGACTTGACATAACACAATTAATAAATGAATCAGGTATAGATGAACTCAATCGAAAAAAAAAATACGATACGATTTGTTTATATATCAGTTATACATAGTTCATATCTTACGTAGACCCGATACGACATAATTTTTTAAATAAAAATTAATAAACAAATAAGACATGGATTATTTCATACTAATCTACTAAAATCCGACAAAAACTTGTCTTATCAAATCCTAGTAATACGATTGACAGCTTAAACCGTAGATCAGAAGGAAACAAAAACAAGCCTCCAAGCGTCATCAAATTAACCACATTAGAGAACCTAAAAAGAAACATATGCAATCATCTGATTAGACCATCAAAAAGTACACAATNACTGCTATTACCAACAAATCGTCCATTAATGAAATGAGAGAGCAATCAGTGAATTCTTTTTTTTTTTGCTAGTGAAAAAAAGGGGTGAAAACAAGGAAGAGTGTCTAGCGACCATCCCGATTGGTTCTCACCGGTGAGATCATAAGGCTTCTGACCATGCCTGTAATATCTCTCGAGACTGGACCTAGTTAGGCTAGCATAGAGGTCAACCACCAAATCCAAATAAGAATTTCAAGACTTGAATTCCCAACCTCAACATAAAGAGTAACGCCGGTACCCCACTATACCACCCTACTTTATTTTTGAGCAATCAATGAATTCAACATGGAAAATGTTAACCTATATTTGTTTATCTAAACAAAACCCCCCCCCCCTCCCCCCCAAAAAAAAGGCCATTTTCCACAGAAAAAAAAATATTTGTACAGCTATACGGTAACGTGTCATACTTGTTAACACAACACAAAATTAGAGAATTTTGGTCTTTTTAAGCCACCCATTTAGTAAACGAGTGGACTTGACATAACACAATTAATAAATGAATCAGGTATAGATGAACTCAATCGAAAAAAAAAATACGATACGATTTGTTTATATATCAGTTATACATAGTTCATATCTTACGTAGACCCGATACGACATAATTTTTTAAATAAAAATTAATAAACAAATAAGACATAGGTTATTTCATACTAATCTACTAAAATCCGACAAAAACTTGTCTTATCAAATCCTAGTAATACGATTGACAGCTTAAACCGTAGATCAGAAGGAAACAAAAACAAGCCTCCAAGCGTCATCAAATTAACCACATTAGAGAACCTAAAAAGAAACATATGCAATCATCTGATTAGACCATCAAAAAGTACACAATAAATTATCCTAAACTTTAATTAGCAAAAAACCACAATTCAACGCAAAAAAAAAACCCAAAATTCATGACAATAGGCAGGTGCAAACAAAAATCACGCTTCTATACCAAAACCACCACAAAGGACTAACCTTGGGCAGTGGAGGAACTCCCATAGCCTGAAATTTATGCCCTGAATCACTGGAAACAATCAAATTATCAAGACTAACAATTGAAGGAGTATCCCAAACCAACAAATCCGATAACCCATCATCCAAACCCACGGACAAAAAATCCCCATACACCGACCCATCACCACCACCAAACAAATCCTTCTTGCGCATATCTTCAAACCCAATAATTGCCAACAACTCTGTAACATTTGGACACCCACTGAACCCTTCAAGAGGTCTTCGATCGTGAATAGAAGATAAAGAACGACTGTGCGTTTCCCAATCACAGTTCTGGCAGAGGACAGAGCTGTCCGTACAACAAAAGATCGAGACAGGAGAGGAATGACATGCGTCGCAGAGCAGTGAACGAGTGTGCTTGGTGAAGAGTGGGTTGGTGGAGTGAACTTCGCGATCACAAGAGAGACAGAGCTTGGCTGAATCGGCTCTGCAGTACAACAGAGCTATTGATTCTCCACAGAAATCACAAAGACGTTTTTGGGTCGTCTTCCTATTATTCTCTTCGTCTTCTTCGTTTGATCCGCCATGTGGGTGTCTGCGAGAATCAGCCATGTCCTCTGGTCTTGGAGAAAAGTCTCCTTTCTCTTACTTGGAAAAACAGAGGGTTTGAAATGGGGCAAAGTGAAGTTGTCTTTCTTGCTTTCCAAGTACCTAACATTAATAAGTTAGTGTGTGTGTGTGTGTGTGTGAGAGAGAGAGAGAGAGAGAGAGGACGAGACAGGGGTTTGAAGAAACCTTATCGCTTGTTTACTGGTTGTATCGTGTGTGCATATGTATGTACACGAAGTATCTCGAGGAAGACTGCGTTGATCTTTTTGTGTTGTTTGATTTTTGTCAAGGTGAGACAGTGATAGATTTGAATGTCACAAAAAGTCTGTAATTCGTACTGTGAAAAAAAGATAGATAAGGACAGTAGGTATCCCATGCATGCACTTAACGCATTCCCATTTTCACCCCTTTTCCATCTTACGGGTTAATTACACAATAAGTCTTTTAAAATATGAGATTTATTTTTTGATTTTTAATATTTCAATTATATCATTTACTCCTAAAATATTAAATATATTTTTATAAAATCTTTCTAAGAGATAACGTCTAGATTATTAATAATTTTTATCTTAAATTACGTAATATCTAAATATAGACAAAAAATAATTTTGATAGTTCTTAAAAAAAAATTTGAGTAAAATTTTGGTCAAGAGTTATTCAAATTTTTTTTATTCATATTTAAGTTTCACATGATAAATTTATAATAAAAAATCGTTAACAATTTGAATACTACTTGAGGGAGGACCATATAAAAACATATTTAATACTTTAACGATAAAAATGATGTAATTAAAATATTAAAAATCAAAATAAGACAAATTTTATATTTTAAAAGTTTCCGGTGCAATTAACCTCATCTTAAAATTCACTATTGTATCTTTGAAATTTTCTATTTCAATGGGTGTTTTTATTTTTGTTAGTCATTTTATAATTTTTTAAATTATTTTTATAGGTGATTTATCACTTTTATAAAATATTTTTACCACAACAATTATTTTTCACTATTTTTTCGTATAAAAAAACTTATCACTTTTATAACTAATTTACTACATTTATGAATGTTTTTATCACTACTGTAATAATTATTTTTACCATTTTTTTCAAATACAACAATAATAATAAAAACATCCAAAACAGTGTTAAAAATATTCACAAATATGATAAATAAAAGTATAATACCAAATTATTTTTTTTCGATACCATAGAGAACTCCTATACTTACAATTCATCTTCATAGTAAAGAAAAAATTTTCATATTAACCATTACACACCGGTATTTTCATATAATGTAATCTAATAATAACTCAATAAATAAATAATATGAATCTCACTCTTTCAAATAACTATCATTTATATAAGATAGTAAACTATCTGTCTATCTGATGATGCCTGACCCCAAAAAAATAAACAAAACACTAGCCGTTATGCAACCCCCCCCCCCCC